GGCATTTTTTGCCCCGTATCTTTGGCATGGCTAGACCTTCCTTTGCATATCCTATTATTTTGACCAACACATTTAAAAAACATAACATTCAAAAATTTTATTTTAAACAATGGGACAGAATGTGCAATATCCAATTGACTGTTATTAAAAATATTTGAAGTTATAGAATTTTCTTCTGTATGTCATAATTTTCTAGAATTCATAAGAAGCGAATACAAAAAGCGTAAATTTCATCGCAAAACCGTATTCGCAGCGTAGTATGCTTTTTAACACATATAAAACCCGCAAATAAAAGACGTGCTCATTTTACAGTGCAAAATTAATTGTGAATTATAAAAATTTACTTAATAACATCTAATATATAAAGTAGATGTAACTATCTGATTTAAAATAAAATTGTTTAATGCTTTCAATATTTTTTTTAAAAGTGCGCAAAGTAATGTACATTTTCCCGCAGACATATGCAGCCTCAGCTAAAAAGAGCGAGGTATTCGAACTCGAATCATTGCAACAAAAATAGCCGCGTTTGAGGGCGGCATAACTCTATAAAGTAAATAAAACCTGCTCAACTTAGAAACGCATTCGTAAATATATTTCAATACTATGAATTTCTCTTTTAGAAGTTAACAAATTATAGTTGTCACGTCATTGTCCGTCCTGTTGGTAAATCAAAGCAGTTTTAACTAATTGACTCAGCAACTTGAATCGATGACGGAAAATCTCCCAACAATGTTAAATTCCGATTGCTACACATAACTATCTTATTAGAATCATAAAAAGAACCTTCTCATAAAAAACCTAAGATTTTCGACATTTTGCTTCAAGACAAATTATACAACTTCCCGTTTTGTGTGTTTTATATTTTCTTATAACAAATACTATACGAACAAAAGTAATATTCTCACTGAAAATTCAAAAAGTGAACTTTTTTTTAAATTTGAAGAGTTATTAAAACATTGAATAACAGATTTTTACAAATTTTTTACACATTCCAGCTTTTCATATAGTATTTAACTTTCCGTGGGGTAAGTTATAGTAATCGCAAAAAAATCTAAAATGAAAATTATTGAATATATTTACGTTTCAAATGAAAGTGTGTGTATGTAAGTATGTATGTTTAGATACAATTTTTCATCCGCGATTTCGAGAGCACCGATTTGAATGATTCAACTAGCTGTAAGTGGAATTCTGTCTTAAGGCAATTAAGGCATCGTGCCTTAAGGCAAATTGCTGGAACTTCCCGTACCAAAATTTTTTTTTTTTTCAAAACGATTAACATTTTTGAAAAAAAAAATTACTTTGAAAAAATAAGATTTTTGAGAAACTATAAATTGGACAAAAAATTACTTTTTTTTGAAAAAAAAATTTTTAAAAAAAAATTTTTTTTTAATTTTTTTTTTTGTTTTTTTTTTGAAATTTTTTTTTTTTATTTTGACATATTGTGGAAGATCTGAACTTTCTTTTCAAAGCAATCGTACTGCTGTAACTGCATAGGGACAAAATATAAAGCGCGTAAGCGCCGCGTCGCTGTCTAACGCATAAGCATTGGTACGGAACCCATAGAAATGTTAACAAATTGTATACTTATTGTTAAAATCTCTATAAAATATCTGATAATTTGATGAGCATATGTCTAATGATCATTTTTGACCGCCAAATGGCTCATTTTTTTACTTTTTCCTCCATATCTCCGAAACCGCTAGACCTACCTTCATGAAAATTTTATCGATTTTGCATCTTGTCAATACAAGTGAAATGTTTTTTGAATTATTCAAATCGGACGCTCCGTTCTCTCAAAAACTGAGTTACCGTTTTCGGCACTTTTTGCCCCGTATCTTCGGAACGGCTAGACCTGCCTTCGCCAAAAACTAATCAGCACGTCTCCTTATCAATACGAATCGAATGTTTTTTGAATTATTCAAATCGGTTGACCCGTGTTCCCAAAATCGTCGACGAAAATTTGTATCCGCACATACATACACACACATACATACATACACACACACACACACACACATACACACACACACACACACATACATCCATTTTTTCTAAGGTATGCCAAAATGTTCAGAAACCTCTGAAACGTAAAGATATATAAAAATTTTCATTTTCGATTTTTTTGCGATTACTATAACTTACCCTACGGGAAGTTAAAAATCATTCAACTCCTATTGGTAAAGAGACGTACTGATTAGATTTTTGGAAAGGTAGGTTCGTCGGAAATAATTTTCAAAAAAATTCAAAATTCTCAGAAAAATCTAATTTTTTCAAACTTTCCAAAAAAAAATAGAAAGCTGTTTACATTTTTAAATTACGGTATGTATCATTAAAGAATTATTATTATTAACGCCCACTGCAGTAATATTTGTTTTATTAATATTTGAAAAAGAAATATCTTTATTGAAATAGCAGTAGTGGTATTGGTACTCAGTATTAAGATAAATTATACATATTAAACTTACAATTAGTATTAATTAGAGTTAAACTATATGTAAAAGAAATCTGATAATTTAATGTGCATATGTCAAACTTAATTTTGGTGACCAAATATCTGTTTTTGGCAATTTATTTTTTATACATAACGCTACATTAGCCAACACACATTTTAGAGTTTACAATTAGAGGGAATTCTAAGCCTTTAATGTGAATCCTAGAGTATTTTAACCAAATAACTGCGATTGACGAATATACTCGTCATGGCTCGATTCTAACGACACAAAAACTGTGGGCACTCTTCAATGAGTAAAATAAACTCCGACTCTAAACCAAAATTGAGTTGCAGTTTAAATCAACTCACAGCCTTCGGTTAAAGCATCCATTGAGAAAAATTAAAATATGTATTATGTAAGGAAAATAAAAAAAAGTATAACACGTAAGAAAAAGTAAAATAAAAATCGGCTAACATACACACACAAATATTTTGTCCAAACTTAGTCTAATTCGATTCATAATGACTTGAAACGTGGAGGAAACATAAAACTATCAAATCGAATTTTTTCGCGAAATGAATTTCTCTTATGAGAAGTTAAAAAACAGAACATTTTTAATCTTTTGCGAATTCAATATGATTATTTTCGACCACAGAGTAATAAAAAGTACAGGTACATCGGCATTCTTAGGCATGTCACTTAATGTGTCGTAATTTATATGAGTTATTAGTTACATCCGCTAACCGCAGAATAAATACACTCTAAGCTTATGTATATAGAAAGTGACAAAAATTCGAACTTTTTTCTGCATAGATATATATATAGGTATATATGATGATAGTTTTGTCGACGTTGATACATATTTGAAATATTTTTGCAGCCCAATCGTTGAATTAAAAAAAGATTGAACAACAAAATTATTTATTCCATTAAACGTTTCGACACTTGATGTGTGTCATCATTTAGTAATCAAACCAGGAAAAACAACAGAAAAAATTAATTATGATGTCAGTGTCAGTGTCCATAATGCACCGCTATTAATAACATAAAATATAGGAGGGCAATATGTGCTCCTTCAATTTCTCGTTTGTTAATATAATAGTATTTTATTATTTTACACAAATTTAGTGTTCAATCAATTTACATCACAATTAATTTTTTCTGTTGTTTTTCCTGATTTGATTACTGAATGATGACACACATCAAGTGTCGAAACGTTTAATGGAATAAATAATTTTGTTATTTAATCTTTTTTAATTCGACGATTGGGCTGCAAAAATATTACAAATAGGTATATATATATATATATATAAAATATATATATATATATATATATATATATATATAATAGGGTGATCCTTAAAATGGTCATTTTCGAATTTCCTTGTACCCAGGGGCTCAAATGGCTCCAAATAGATAAAAAACAATTCTCTGAAAGTTTTTTGAAAGACATCAAAAAAGCACATTTCTACAAAGATGAAGTAGAAGGCAGTTTACTGAACGTAGTCAGATAATTGTTCGTTTGATATATATATATATACTATATATATATATATATACTTTATAATACATTACATATATATATACTTTTAATTAAAATTACTTTAAATCATCGAATGTAACTTGAAACTTTTCAAAAAGCAGGTCAAAGAAGAAATACTTGATTCATTTTCTATCTTTCCTCAAGAAATTTTAAAATTTTGTATAAGCTCAGTAGTATTATTTATAATTATACACAAAATGCAGAATCCAAAAAGAATCTGAAAAACTTGAAACGTAATCAATAAGTCGAAAGACCAAAAAAGACTTGAATGGATTATACTATGAAAGTGTATAAATCTTCCAGTTTGATTGTATTGACAAAATATAGACAAACTAATGGAGTTTATAATTGCATATAGCATTCAAATAACACATCCTTATACACTTAAAGTATTAATATTTTTGATTCTCTAGAAATTGTTTAGAATATACCTTATTTAGCAAAACAAAGTTTGCCGGGTCAGCTAGTATATATATATATATATATATATATATATATATATTGGACGTATTTTCCAAGAAATTCGTATACTGTATGTCTTGCAGAACTTATTTTATAAATTAAACACTATTTTAATTTGATTCAATTTATTTGCCGAATAATTGTAACGGAGTACGGAAATCACAATGATATCGATTTACTGATAAAAGGTACTATCGACCTGAACAGTTATAATCCCAAAATCTATCTATTGAATTCTAGTTACTGCTGGTACTGATAATACTGCAGCAGCAGTGTTGACTAGTATGAACAAAAATAATGGTGTTACCATATACAATTCTTTCCATACTCCCACTCGATGCACAATTGCATCCAAAATTAAATAAACTTAAAGTTAAATCTAGTAGATAATATCTTAAGTCACATACAAAATAAATATAAGTTTCTTAATAGCAACTACAAAACTTAAAGTAATTAACTTAGCTACATTCAAAAAATCATACATTTTTTCTAATACAAAATACAATTAAATTAGTTCACATTCAAGAAATAACACAAGATACAAATATTTGTTATTTACAATATTAATCATTAATTGGCAAAGGCACTAATTTATGAATAGGTCTTGTGTAGGTTCCATTTGAGGTTTTAACTTCTGCCACTCGAACTTTACCATCACGACCATAATTTAAATTAACAATTCTAGCCAAGCACCATCTTAATGGGGGAAGGTTATCCTCCTTAATCAAAACTATCGAGTTTAATTTCAAATTTGGCTGATTATCTGACCATTTATTTCGTTTTTGCAAATAAGATAAATAATCCTTTGACCATAAAGTCCAAAATTTATCTCGCATGGCAGTTAATTGCTTATATACCGTTAATGAATTTAATTTATCAAAATTTACGTTTGGTTCTGGGATTGTAGTTAAAAAATCTCCAATCAAAAAATGACTAGGCGATAAGTACTGAAAACTAGAAACATCATCTGTTATTGCCATAAGAGGACGTGAATTAAGAATTGCTTCCACCTGTAATAGTACTGTTAAATATTCCTCATAAGTTAAACAGGAGGAGCCTATTATCCTTCGAAGGTGATATTTCATAATTTTAATACTTCCTTCCCACAATCCACCAAAATGTGGGGAATGAGAAGGAATAAACTTCCAAGTTATGCCCATTGTCGCAGCTTGGTTAATTATATCTGTCTTGAAGGATTGTTTACTAAAAAGATTCCGTAGCTCTTGCAACTCATGATTAGCGCCTATAAAATTCGTTCCGTTGTCGCTATTTATTACCGAACATAGACCTCTACGAGAAACGAATCTCTTTAAAACACAAATAAATGATTCTGCTGTGAGGCTAGTTGTAATATCTAAATGAACAGCTTTAGTCACCATGCAAACAAACAAAACAATATAAGCCTTAATTCTTGGTGCTTTCCTTAATCGACTCGATCTTATCGTCAGCGGTCCTGCGTAATCAACCCCAACATTAAAAAAAGGGCGTTGAAATTTAACTCTATCAATGGGTAAACTTCCCATTAATTGAGAGGCAGTGACAGCTTTAATTTTTGCACATTTTACACATGAGTGTATTATCGCTTTTAGCTCTCTTCGCGCGTTCAAGGGCCAATATTTTCGACGAATATTTGCTAAAACCGTTTGCGTGCCCGCATGCATCAACCTTTCATGCTCTTGTTTCAATAAGAGTCTTGTAACATAATGTTTTTTGGGCAGAATTATTGGGTGCTTTTGTTCATAAGAAACATCAGCATTTTCTATCCTACCACCCACTCTCAAAAAACCTGACTTATCTAAGAAAGGATGAAGCGATTTCAATTCCGACATCAATTTAAGACTAGGAGTATGTTTACTATCTTGCAGATTTTTTATTACTTTTGTGAAGGTTTCTAACTGAACCAATTTTAAAATTACCTTCAACGCATTATCTAATTCTGGGACCGATAACGTATTGTGATCACCACGACCTATCGACCTTTTAATATAAGGGTTCATTCTTAAGCAGTAAGCTAGAACTCTAGTCATTTTCCTTAGCGAAGAGAATCGCTGACAGAAAGTATCAAGAAAAGAACTGCTGTTTTCTTTAACTAATAGAACTCTTTGTTCGGGTAGAACAGCGTCTAAAGAAGGATCAACATTTGGCCACCTATCAGTATTCTCAGACAACCAACTTGGGCCATTCCACCATAGCTCACAAGTTTTTAATTGATCTGCGGATAAGCCTCGTGAAATTAGATCTGCTGGGTTGAAATCAGAAGGCACATGTCTCCAGATTGTGCCGGGAGTAATGTCAGTAATTTCTCCTACTCTATTGCTCACAAAAATATGCCATCTATTTGGATCGCCAGCGATCCATGACAAGACAATGTTTGAGTCACTCCAAAGTAAAACCTTTTCAAAATTTATATCAATGTTATCAATCACCCTTCTGAACAACCTAGCCAATAATAATGCAGCACACAATTCCAACCTCGCTAAAGTTATCGGTTTTAAAGGTGCAACTTTTGATTTCGCACACAGTAGTTTCACACTCGTAGTTTTATCTTCATATGTGGTTTTAACATAAAAGCATGCTCCATAAGCATATGAAGACGCATCAGCAAAACCATGAAGTTGAATACTTATAATACGTTTGTGATGAAAAACGCAACGATCAATAACTAAGTGTGATAATGTCCCTAACTTTGTGGCAAACTTGAACCACTTATTTTCAACGTTTGCAGAAACACTTTCATCCCAATCTTTCTTATCTTTCCAAAGTTCTTGTAAAATCAATTTTCCTTGTATAACGACAGGTGCGATCAGTCCTAAAGGATCAAAAATTTGTGATATCACAGATAAAATAACTCGCTTTGTACAATTATTAAATTTAAAAGTGGGAACTGAAATAAGAAAGTGATCCTGTTTTGGATTCCATAATAAGCCTAAGGTGTTAATAGAATTTTTATCGTCAGTGAAGATAGGGTTATTAAATTCTCTCAATTGCAAAGGAATATCATTTAAAAAACTTGGAATATTTGAAGCCCATTTATGTAAGCAAAAACCGCCTAATTCTAATAACTTAATTAATTCAATTTTAGTACGCTGTAAATGTTCTATACTATTAGCACCAGTAATTATGTCGTCGACATAAATGTCCTCTAAAAGTACATGTGAAGCAATCGGGAATGTGGCTTTTTCTTCAAAGGCTAAATGATTCAAACATCTTATCGCAAGATATGGAGCTGAAGCCGTTCCGTAAGTTACAGTTGTAAGCCTGTAACATCTTATTTCTTCCGAAGGAGAGTCCCTCCAAAGAATCCTTTGATACTCCTGATCGGCTCTTTTAATATTTATTTGTCTAAACATTTTAATTAAATCAGCTATGAAAACAAAAGGCTTCGATCTGAATCTTAGCAAAAGCAAAATAAATCCTTCTGTAATTTTGGACCAGCTAGAAGGATGTCGTTAAGAGACTTTCCCGACGAAGTTTTAGTCGATGCGTCAAAAACAACGCGTATTTTATTAGAATCTGAATTTTTAAAAACAGCATGATGTGGCATATAATAATGATTATGACTGGTGGAAGAATCAAAGGTATCTAAAATGTCCGATTTTGGAATATCTGTTTGAACGGCGTGCCCCATAGAAATATATTCATGAATAAACTCACGATAAAGTTTATATAAATTGGGATTCTTGTAAAAACGCTTTTCTAAATAAAGAAATCTCTTATGTGCAACACCATATGAATGACCTAATTCTCCTTGATAATCTGGTGTAAAGGGCAAGGCAACTTCAAACCTATTATTAATTCTAGAAACACTAGATAGAAACTGCTCTTCACAAATTTTATTTAAACCATAAAGGCGCATATTTGTCTCAGGTATTTCTTCCAAATTCCAGAATTTAACTAAATTCTCATTTAATTTAAAATTAGAATGTGTTATCAAACCTACATATTCCTTAGACCTTTCAACACTATTGTAATTGCCCGAAACAATCCATCCAAACTTAGAGTTACGTAAAATCGGGTGATAACTTCCTAACCTAATAGAACCCTGCTGTAAATGTCGAAGAAGAGTTCAGCTCCTATCAACATATCTATAGGGCTTGAAATATAAAAATGAGGATCTGCTAATTTAATGTGTGAGGGAATATTCCAATCGTTTATATTAATATCAGCGGACGGCAAATTACTAGTGATTGATTTTAAAACAACAAAATCTAAGGTTCTAGAAAACGTAGAAGCATTTGAAAATATTTTTATAGTAGCTGTTTTATTACTAAATAACGAATGTCCATGTAAAACACTTAAAGAATTTGATACTGTATTTAGAGTGCAATTTAACCGGTCGGCAAGTGACTCCGAAATAATATTTATTTGACTACCGCTATCTAATAATGCCCGTACATTGAATGATCTACCAAATGAATCATAAACCCTTACAATGGCAGTAGATAACAAGGTTTGAATGTTATTTTTACAATTAGCTAACAAAATCGTCGGTGGCTTATCAGAAGGCTTATCTACTTGGTGACTAATCTGATCACTTTGTGCACTGTGTAGCAAAGTATTATGCAATTCGGATTTGCATACCCTACATGAACCCGTATACTTGCAACTTGCTAAGGCATGAAAACCATCCAAACATTTCTCACAACAATTATTTTTATTTGCAAATTTCTTGCGTTCTTGGACAGACAATTTTTTGAATGCGTCACAATTAAATAATGGGTGATTTCGTTTGCAAAATGGACAAATTCGCTTGGATTTTTGTTTACTAATGAAATTAACGGGTTTTGAATTAAATTTTGATTTACTACTAGAAGGTTCTGATCTAAAAGTCGCCTCCAAGGCTGAAATACGTGATGTTAAAAATTCAAAAAATTGTTCTAAAGTAGGCAAATCTGTATTCCTATGTAAATTCCATGCCAAGCAGGTTTTATCGTCCAACTTTTTTGTGAATAAAAATATAAAGACTAAATCCCAATACTTAG